CCGGACCAAAAAAGCACAGTCGTCCAGGCCTTTCCCTTGCAAAAGGAGTTGGTGGTCAATGTGCTTGAAGACTTTGGCCGAAGCCCATCCAATTGACCCATGTGTTCACCCAATTGGTGAGCTCGGCACCACGGCCACAGGGCCCGGTGCCGACTCCCCACGTGACGTCGCAGTCGTCGGGCACGTCGGGCACGTCGGGCACGTCGGGCCGACACCAGGACCCCAATGACTTCCCACAGCTGGTGACGCCTGCAGAGGGGCGCGGCTGGGCGGACTTCGCCGCGGGCTTCTCCTTCTCCTTGCCCGACTTTGGTGCCTCGGGAGAAGTCGGGCGCCCCCCCGGGGTCGGGAGAGGATTGGAGAGGGAGAGGGAGAGGATCGTCTTTTGTTGTTCGACCATTGTTCCGAAGACCAACTCAGTCTGCGTGGTTTTTGGTGGGTTACAGGTGGTCCTTTGCAGGGGAACAAGGTGCTGGAACAAGGCGGGTCGCCAGAGAGTCACTAGACACTGAAAGGCTTACATAAGAGGCCAGTTGAGACTCAGTTGAGAGGCGCCCCCGCTGCCAGAGGTCCTGGTTGGACGCTTTTTACCACCCTCTTGTCCACCCAAACCCAGACATGAGATGTACCACCATATAACAAATCATATTGTAACTGTCCCAGACATGACCTGTGTTGGGCTTGGAATATTAGACATATACATTGACTGATACAGGTCAACCACAATATATGCCAGTCCCATGGAGTGTTTGTTGGACTATGAGCTTTTGTTGCTTAGCTTGGGCACTCGTTAGCTCGCTTGTTGCATGCGCACTCGTGCCTGCTCGCAGGGCGGGGTGGGCAAGAGAAGTGCCACTGAACAACCCACAACTTCGTGCAAGACTTGTTCAATAGAGTTTGTTGATACCCAAGACTTGTTGGAAGTCAGCAGGAAGTCAGCAGGTTGGTACTTGTTGGGGTTCTTCAGGAAGCTGTTTTGACCTACCTGATGGTTCATAATGAATATTTGGTTTGGAAGCCGGCCGGAGCAAACACACTGAACCCACATCAACTCGATGGGCCATCAGTGTTTGTGTTTGATTGCAAGACCTAAAGCTAAACATCCATGAATTGTAGCTGTTTTGTGCACTTTTGGGTGCTCATTGGGTGCGAAAAAAAGCCCAGGCCTAATGAAGAAGATCATTCCCATCGTCCTCTTCACGCTGTTGCTTGGACGGGCTGGGGATGGCTGGGGTGAGTCATGGCAACCGGCCGTGTGGCAGGATGTTGGGTAGGTGACATATAGAAGATCCACTACTCCCAGAGCATCCATGGGACTGGAATAGTCATAGTTATGTATACAAGTAAAATATAGAGTACTGTAACTATTTCATACATGCATGCTTTGGGACTTGAAGTTTCTCTCATCCCCATAGCTTTTGGTGCTAAATTCGCTCCCTCAAGACACCTCTTGGCCCTCAGATGAACAACCCAGACAGACCAAGAGGTTTACGAGACTTGCGATGGTCAAACAAAAGCAAACTTGCAGCAAAGGCATTGCTTAGAGAACGGACTTCTTCAACCTGGCAGCTTTTTGGGCTTTTCTTGCAAGATTTTGGAGATGTCTTTCGAGCTATTTTGCTTGATTATACCAGGGTTGTTGGCAAGATCCATTCATATTGAAATAGCCGCAAGTGGATTTTAAATCACATTCAAGCCAAGGCTGTGCCTGGTCCTCTTACGCTTCATCGGACTCCTTTGAGGGTTTCACCAGCGAAACGAAGCAGTTTCGCGCCCTCGCAAAACGATGCGGGGTGTGGCAGAGCTCCACAGGATCTTCTTCGTGCGCATCTAGAGCTCACGAAGCAGCGAGATGACATGAAAAGCGACGAACTGAAAAGAAATATGGGTTCCTGGCTCCCCAAATCATGTCGAAAGCTTTGAGAAATCCATGTTTCTTGGGAGCCAGGAATCATGGGAGCCTTTCGTCTTGGACTCATGTCGAAAGCTTTGAGAAATGGGAGGCCCCCGCTACCTGGGCCGGGGGTAGCAACTCTTTGACCCGTCTGGGGGGGCAACTCTTGGACCGATGGGTTCGAACCATCACCCGATGCAAAGCCTGGTGGTTTTGCAGTGCTGAACGCATATGAGCACCTTGATTGTTCATGGTGGGGTGCAGGGCATGCCTTGGGATGGACTTAAAACACCCAACACTTTTGTGTGGAGCTGCTGCTTTTAGAGCCTTCCTGGCAGTAGCCTTACCGCGGTGCAAGCGATTGGCCCGTGACCAGCGGCTACTGCCTTGATAGGTACGTTTGAACGTTCTTTTTTTGAAGGAAGGCCCCTACTAGGCCCCTACTACCTACCCAGTCAGTGGATAACCTTTAAGAGAAAAGGGTTTCAGACAGTTAGACTATATAAGCACATTCATCTATATAAGCATTGTTGATGCCAAGGGGGGGTACGGGATGGACTGCCTCCTTGACCCGGGGCTGGTTTTGCCGGTCATGTGATCCATCAGTTTCCATGCTTGCTTTGGGGAGTACTATGTGGGTTTTGCCAGTGGATTCAATCAATGGCACATGGGTACTCACAAGAGATTCTCAAAGCAATTCAGGCAAACAGCGCGAGCGACATGCCGAAGTCAAACTACAAGCCGCTAGGTGATGCTAGGTGTATTTCTTGTCGCCCAGGGAAAGAAAGCTGGAGATTCTACCCAGTCAGTGGATCACCCTTCTACTTTGTTGGGACGAGCGGACGAGGCGAGGCGAGGGCCAGTCATTCATACGTAGCTGTCACTGACGTCCTTACATCTCAAGACCCAAAAGCCCCGAGTCAAGTACCTCATACATAACGTGTCTCCGTCCTCACCTTCTCAGAGGGTATGTTGGGTCTCTACTCTCGCTTCACCAGCTGAAGACTCCATGATTCCTTCATTTCCAGATGGCCTGTTTCTTTTGCTTGGTTGATCCCCCCTTACTTTGTCCCTTTATGAAATGGCATCCTTTGACGATAAATCACCACTGCCGGGTCATCATTTTATACAGTCATGGGCCTAGTTAGGGAAAATCATAGGCCCAGACATGAAGTGGACAATTTTTAGGTGATCTGAATATATGGAATTGACTTGTCACGATATGTTCTGGGTAGAGTCAGCCAAGGTTTGGCAGGGTCAATCTATTTTTATTTATATAAAGATTTTTTCCTTTCACACCCTCACAGGTCAAATTACTGTAATGTATAAACCTGGGATGTGTGAGATTTGGCTATCGCATGCTGCCTCATTTTATAAAACACACCAATTACTTTCTTTTCACCTATTTATGATGAAGCATCATTTGATAATTGTAGAGCGCTGATTGCCCAAACAGGACGCTCATGATCTGATGTCCATGCAATCATTTTATACTATAAAAGCTATTGGTTTTTCATTTGATAGTGGTTTATCCTGTGCAGACCACTTTATAGTCACTTCTTTTTATGACATGACTGAACCACAGGCCCCTTGAGTAAGTAAGGGGGATCTTGGTTGATTCATCGCCTACATTGCCTGGCATCGACCCCTCGATACGGCCCTGTGAACTGGTCACGAGCACCTAGCAGCCTTTTCACAGGCTCAATGTAGCCAGTCGTTGTGACCCTGCATGATGCAGCGGACCCGGTTCCCGGCGGTAGATGAGCCCTGGAGGAGGTCATCCACCTACCCTCGATTGAAGGTGAACATCAGTGAACATCAGTGAACTCTTGAACGAGTGTTTCTCAAGCGAACGGAGCCTGGACCAACCCAAAGAGGAATCGCATGATCCATGGGAAGGATAGGTCATGACAGGTCATCATGTTAGGAATAGAAGGGGTCACCGACCTAGTCAGGTGGCACCGACCTAGTCAAGCAAGGTTATGCTTTAGCCCTTCTGACATGCTTCATTTAATAGCTACACTGGCTTCCTCAAAAAAGGGTGAAAAAAGAGTTTCCTTCAAGGGAAATTTGGATCACTCAGTGATCATTGAATTGATCCCCCTCCCAGTCAGGCTCAAGGGCCAAGAGACGACTTCTTTGAGGGAATGTAGGTTGGTCTCACTACCAGTATTAACAGTCGGATACAGTCGGTAAACATTACATAGTGCATCCACCGTTACTGGTCATGGGATATCCCCAAAGGCGCTGGGCCGGTTTGTTTTGTGAAGCTCTTTAGTTGGCATGACCGGTCTGACATGGTATGAAGGTGCTCCACATGGTCGGCATCAGTCAATCATGGCCCAGCAAACCACCACAATCCACCCATCTCCTCCTCGTCTCATCGATGAGCACCGGTGCCCACGCGGCAAATCGACCACGCGGCGCCGGATAGGAGGCGGTGTTCAGAAGAGAAAGAGAAACAAAGAGTTCTGCAGGGTCAGGATATCAACCACCTACCCTCCCGCAAACATCCGCAAACTATAACATGGAACCTGAGAATTAATTGACCGGTGGTTTCGACGATTTTCCTTTACAACCCAGTTGTTTTGGGGTTCCGTGTTAATTTGCAAGGGAGTAGTCAGTAATTCTCTTCCGTGAAGTTTGTACATGTTTTGATCTTCCCCATGGTCAATGACATGGGGTCATGTTTCAACATGCCCTGGTCGTTGATTTGGGGATATTTGGGCCATATTGTCCTAAGAGTCAGAGTTCTCTAAAGTGGACGAACTATGTTTGATACGACGCTTTCTATTTGGCCAGTGGGTGCAGAATGGACAGTCTTTGTGTCGCTGTCTAAAGTGTTGTTGCGAGAAGGGAATGGAGGCCACTGCAACATGCACACGCACATTAGCGTGCAAGACACTTACATAGAATTCAGTGGCTGAGAGCAACAGTCTTTCACTGGATTTTGTGATGCAGAACCTCAAAATACTGGGTTCACATGCCCCCACGGGAGTGTGTTGCAAAATCATGCAAAACATGTTTTTCTCCACCCAGCATTGCACCCAGCTGGCCTCGTCCCCCACCGTCACTTCGCGCGTCCGACGGTGGCCTCGCATGGCAGGCCTTGAGCCTGGTCGCCCAGCAGCAAGGGTGGGAACTCGTCCAGCTACTCGGCTTCATCGAGTGAACTAGCATCAGAAGGAATATTTGCTAACATCATCTATATAACATTCTCAAACCAGTTGAACAAATAAACCCGGTAATATGTATTAAGTAAGGAAGGTTTACTATGACATGGGACTTACCTACTCTATGCCTTATGTCACTTGAAGCCTTAACTCCCGTGTGATCTGCACCCAGTATAGACGATGTCTAGGATGTCAAGGGTTTGCAAAGTGCTTGTCCAATTTTTGGTGATTTCTTTCAAGCTCTTCTCTCAGGCCGGCTGAAAGCACACGGCGTGCTCTTCGACAGCTAACGGTTCAAACATAGAGCCAGTCTTACCCAGCGTGTCACGGGGTTGCTCTACAAGAAGTTCCCTTTCCATCCAGTCCTGCCCTGGTCCCCAAACTCGACGCGGCACCAAAGGCGACGCTCCGCAAAAAGGTACACCGTACTTCCAGAGGTCCACCTTTTCCGGTACTTTGAACGGCTGGTATGCAAGGCAACTCATTGGGTTCAAAGCTATGACTAGTTGGTCCGATGGGCTCATGCCACAAGTTGTCAGTTTCCCCCTTAATCTCTTGCACATGCCACACGCGGATTTCTTTATCAATGGTGCGTCCGAACGGATCATAAACAGGAAAGCCTTAACAAGCGTCGCTTCTTTTTCGGGCACGCGATGCTCCGTACGCAGGTGGAGCAAGTAGGCCTCTTTACCTTATTAAGGAATGTCGGAATGTCGGCTGGGCAGAATGGGCAGTTTATGAACAACAAAATGCGGTTGTATACGCATGTATGTGCAACGCTTGCTATCTCTCGCTATCTCCTAAGATCATAATGTTGAAACGCCACTAATTCAAAGCAGTTCAAAGCTTTGAGCCAAAGGAGCGGAGCTCACCAGAATATCCCAAGACAGTTTCTCTAAGGTCAACAAAGCAGTCAGTGATTAGTAAGAGCTGAACATATGTGATTAAAACAAAATGTGATGATAAGATGTGTATCTCAGACCCTTTTGAAAGATCAATTAAGAATCAGAACGAGCATCTCAACATGAGCCCCAAAAGATTCAGCACTGGTGATCGACTCGTGTTCGGGTCGCTCCGGCGACCCGTCGGCAGCTCCGTCGCGCCTCCCAGGAAGGGCGGTGAGATCCGGTGGGTCGTGTTGGGCACCACAGCTGGGCGTCCTGCGGGATGAGAGGAGTCCAGGAACTGCTTCAGAACTGGGATGAAGAAACCCCCCACAACTGTTTACGCTGTTTAGAGGTTGTTCAATTCAAATGGCGTGTGGTTTTTCTGAATTTAAAGGTCTGCATTATGTTCGTTCGCCCCCGGTGCCTTTGAAGTATGAGACCGGACCCAGACCATCCCATAAAAGGAATGGAAGAGTTTACTTGCCACTAAGGTCATACATGCAGCTATTCCAGTTTTATGGGATGGTTTGGGTATGATAGGAAGTTGCTTGCTGGAGTCGAATCACTAGTAGTAGACAGTAGTTAGACCATTTTAAGATCGTCTTGGCCTGTCCAGGTACCTTTTGGCTTTCGGTGCCTTTGAAGAAGCTACCATTTGTTTAAATTGAGGAAAGCCCAACCCAATGGCACATATATAGGTTCAGGCATCCAAGGAGGCCTTGGAAGATATGATATTTGGGTCGCGCCAGCTGACAAATGGCTAAAGTGGGATTCAAATCATCTTCAGGCCGTATGATCTTCCTGGTGCTGCCTGGGTCATGTTTATTTTCCCTATGGGTGAATCTCCTTCTGTGGAAGAGTCTTCCGGGTTCCTTAAGCAAATCCAAGTCATACTCGTAGATGTTTCCGAAGCATGTCCTACGCATGTCCATGGGACTGGAAGAGTGAACTATGTACTTGCTGTCAGTAGGTACATTGGCCCCAAGTCAACCGCCACAAAGTGTGGTAATCCATGCAGGGAATGTTTGGAAGCATCATCGTTCTTGTGGAATTTTGTTGGGCCATCTAGGTCCACCTCACATACAAAAGGGGTTGACTGCTAGTGCAGCATATATAACTTTGCATCGAGTGGTGCTCTCCTGTCAGTGGTGTTGGAAAGGCAACCTCAAAACAACCCTGTCCTAGGCCCTAACTCAGTTTGGGGTGAGCTTGAGTTGGCTGCAACTCCTCCGCGGTGTTTGGCAAGCCAGGCCTATTGACCCCAAAACTATGAAGTTGGTCGATGTATAGCTTGCAGCTTCCTTTGAAGTAGCATCATGTGGCCCTTCATGCAATTGGCAATGTTGAATTTTCCGCCCAGCATCATGTTTGTGTTGCTGACTGCTTTCCCCAGGCGCAAGGAAGACCTCATTGAGAGCCTCCGCAGTATCCAGAGCGGTGGACAGTGGTTATCGCACATCCCGGGCATGCACGAGGTCGGGGAGCACAGGCTGATGCCACCGCCATCCGGTCGGTCGGGGCGCCACTGTCGGATGGGAGACGGTCTGGCGCCCAAGAGATTGGTGGTTCGGACGTATCTTGAGATGACAGGACGGCAGGTGTATGACTAACTGATTCTCATCACACTCCCCATATCAGAAAGGTCTTTATACATCTGCTTACCTTTGACATAGCCACGGAGACATCTCCTTACCTTTGACATAGCCACGGAGATCTTGTGAATCACCCGTCTCCAGGACTCCAAGACGCTTTCATCCTTTGTTGTGACTCATTTTGTCCTCATCACCTTTGGCCAGGCCTGTGAGAAGGGCAGCCTTGCACGGGCGCTGGAGGCGAGGGGGGCGAGTTGGGTTAAGTTAGGGCTCAAAGTGTTTCTTTTTTCTCAACCTGAAATTTCTTATGTGGAAGCTAAGAATGAAACAAGTAATTAAAGAGTTGAGTTCTTAGACGTTTTATGGTCTCTGAATAGGCACCCAGACCACAACCCCCCAGCGGACAAACCAGCCCAACCCATCCCAACCCAACACGGACAGGACCGTCCTTTGGAGCGGGTGGCTTTGACCTGGTCTTTCTTCGGTCCTCGCCAGGCCAGTCAGGCAGCTTTCTGGCCGCGCTCCTGGAGGCGAGGGTGGTTTTGGGAGAAGGTTTCGCGCGGCAGATGGAAGACCCAACCCCCCCAAAAGAGGGAGACATAGATATAAGCATACACGTAATGCTACGTACAGTCATGTATGTCATTAAAACGATATGTCACACATGGATTTAAGATGATTTAAATGCGTTCAAAGGACCATTTGTCCTCCCCAAGTGTTAGATACTGTAAAATGTCTTGAACACTTCACAAGAACGGGATGCCTCCCATATCGACACTAGCCTGGATGGATTGGAACATCGACCAGCCGTTTTGGATTGGGCCATAAAGCGCTGAGGCCATCTGTTGGAATAAAAGAAACAGTTCCATGGGTGATTCCGGATCGGTCGGTTGACGGTATCAAATGGACCCCTAGACATGAATCTTTCAAAGGAGATCAAAATCCATGACTGCTGTCTCCTACAGACCTGTCTGGGACCTGGCTGTGCGCCAGACAAGGCCTGGGTGGTTGACCTGGACTTGCATGGAGCAGCATAGATCATCATATTATCCAATCCCCGCAAAGTGTTTGGGATTGAAACTTCCAAGTACAAACCCAGACACGGACTGGGAAAGGTGGCCAAGGGGTGATAACTTATGGCTGGTTGTAACTGATGGGTTTAGGTAGCGTCCCACTGCTGGCCGACCATGGCCGTCGAGACTGTGACCTGGAGACTGTGACTCGGCCGCGTCGCGCTAGAACTTAGGGGTCATATTCCATGGGAGGATTGGGCTTAGCACCATTTTCACGAGGACTGGAGGATCCAATGATGAATCCAGCTGGAAGGAGTAGGTCGGACCGGACACGAGCCAACAGATGTGGATGGCACCCCTGATTTGCTAGGGCAAAGTAGGCTTCCAAGAGGCCAGGATGTCCACTTACATGTTGCCTATGCGCGTAAGTGGTCAGCAAGTGGTGGCTTTTCTGCTTAGTCTAGCTCTAGAAAGGTTTGGGAGGTGGTGTTTGTGCTGCTGGGAGTGAGCAAAGAAATTAGGATACCAAGGCATCCCCACGTTTCACGGTCTAGTAGGGGTTTCTTTGAGCTCCTTCAACAGGGGGGAGACTTGGATTGAACCACCCTGTGCCCGATCCCAAACCGTCCATAAGACTGGAATCTATGCTGCCCCATTGACGCCAACCAGGCCAGCTGATCGGTCAACAGGTTAACTATGTTTCAATGGGTCATACATGGAGTGTTTGGTTTAACAGGTCATATACCATCCATGGCCTTGATCTCATGAGCTCAGGTCAAGCACCCAATGAATGAAGGTCAATAGGCCGGTCACATCGATGGTTGATAGGCACGTCCCATGGTCACCTCGCGCCAGGATCACCCAGCCTGAGGAGCTTCAGGCGTTGCTTTCGCCCCACAGAGTCCAACATGACCGGTACATTTGAAGTTGAGCAGGGTCAAAGCACACCTTGTCTCCATGTGGAACTACCGACAATTACTTCATGTATGACCGAAATGTAACTATTCCATCCAGTCCCATGGATGGTTTGGGATAGTACACCAGTTGCATAAGTTCCCCGCAGGACCTTGAAACGCCATGCCGTGCAGATCTCCACTCCGCACATGCCATCATCCTTTGGGTCGAGCGTGTTCACTGCAACAATTGGTCAGAAATCTGGTCACCCGGCTTGCTCAAGCTGCTTGTTAGGCCACAAATGGCCATAGGCGGTCATAGGCGGCCATAGGTCCTTTGAGGTGAATTGCATCAATCACCACCCTCCAATAAGCTGATGTTCGCCCAAATTACACTCTTACTCGCTAACACGGAAGTGGAACATGATCCCTTGGAATTGGAAGACTACTTTCCTTCACAAAACAAGGGGTGAACTCCACTTCCATGTGATGTGTTTGGAGCGTCGTGTCGTGGTTTTCGCTGGATGGGCTCAATCAATCCTTTCGCTGCTCGATCGGTGAAGCTTCGACACCCCACCGGGTGTGCTTCGATCGTCGCCTGATGGGAGCAGACCGTCGCGCAGGCTGCGCTGGAGTTTTGCCAGAGTCATGTGGTCATCGTGAAGCCCAACAGAGGCGAGATGTACCACGTGTTCAACCGTGGTGGAGGGGGAGGTCCGCGAAAAGGGTGAGCTGGGTGCGATGTCGCACCAACACCTGGAAGACCCCACGAAATCGAAACACCCAAACTGTCCACCTCGGGGGATGGTGAGCTTTTCAGGTGTTTGACAGGCACTCCCGGCGGCTCTGGGCCACCACCGGTACGCAGGAAGTGACCCGAAACCCTCTGACACCACCCGTCCTGGTCCGGACCCGGACCGGGTGCCAGGCCTGCAAGGTCGAGGGATCTACTTGGCTCGGGGGCCCGAGACTTTCGGTCGAGGTGCAGGTTGGTCCTCCACAAAGAGAGGGACTATACGGCAAACTGGTGGTGAACTCCGCTTCATTGGATTTGCAATTCCCCTCCATTTCTTCTATGAAATGAGGGGGGGCCAAGGCATGATAAGGCATGTATAACATGATTTATGACCCTGAGGGTGGGGGGGTTGGCTCCTTGATTTCTTTGAGACAATTGTGGTTTCATTCATTGCATTGCATTCAGTTTTTGTGCTTTCAAAGCACTGTGGTTTGATGTGGTCTCTATTTCATGTGCTCACCAAGAGGTCAAAACGATGCATTTTATAGCGGCCACCTGGGCCACCTATAAATTGCCTAACAGATCCCGGGAACTGAAGAGAACAGCGGCTCAACAGCTGCGGCTAGATCACATGATTATCAGGCGTGAAAAAAGAACCAGCGCGGGTGGTCATCTCCGCATGTTATGTCATATAAAATCATATAACATCAATGACAGGACCCCCCTAGGCCATATGGAATCGACACGGGGATGATGGACGCATATGGACACCATGAGATACCATGACCAAACGGTGCATGACCCTGATTTCATCAAGGGTCCCAAACAGGTGGTGCTTTCCACGAACCCATGATGAGTTCAGGGAGAGTAAGACTGCTTGGCTACTTGCTATCACTTGCTTCATTTGGTTGATTGTTGAGGATGGGGGCAATCCATCGGTGGATTGTGAACGCATGAATTTGTGGATTGAAAAGAGTTCGTACTGATGTGAGTTCACAGTACGAAACATGATTTGTGCTTGATATGTGAGTTCAGTACGTTAGTAGATATTGATTTGTGATTTGATTCTGAAACCGTCGGGCGTGTTTGCTCAGATGCTTTCAGTTGACCTCTATGAGGGGGGTCAGTGCACCTCATTGTGGGACTGTGATTCCATTGTGGGTGGGACTGTGATTTTTTGTTTTTGCCAGGCTGTCCCACATCGGTATGAAGCCCGTGCTGAAAGAACGTTTATTAGGTAGCGTTGGGCCTCAACAAGGTGACACCCCCTTGGATGGTTCTGACATAAGCTTTCGGCAACACCACACATATTGGGCATTCACATGAGCCTTCCTTGAGTAGCCCAAAAGTAATGCTCATCTCAGCCACTGGCCCGAGTCCTGAGCAGCAAGGAAGCTGCAACTGTTCCAAGACTTCTTCATGCATCCCTTCGGGGTGAACTGGCCAGGTGACGTTGGTCAAACCTGGCCCAACGCCTTTGATCGGCGGATTGGAGTGAGAACTGTGCAAGCTTCGAGAACTAGTACGAAGCGCAAGTCATTTGGTGTGATTTTACTTATCCCGGACCAGGTGCCATCCAATGTATGGAATAGTTAGTTAATGTTAGTTATATTGGGGTCATGCATGGGTGAATTTATGCAACCATTCCATACATGGATGGTTTGGGAGTGTTCCCCACCTCTCTCACAAGTGGGATGCCTCAAGGCTAGGACCTTGCTTTCCGCAAAATTCCTTGAACACTTGAAATTACATCGGAAGTTCCAGCAGGATACCTAGACACTCCATTGGACATACAATTTCTGGGGTCAATGTAAGTACGTACTCCATTCGCAGCCAGGGTTGTCATATGTGAAATCATAGAAATCGCTTGATTTCCTGACACCTGTGGCCGAGAAGAATCCCCCCAGCTCCTCAGGAGAGGCCATGTCTCTCCACTGGTCTTTGTCGTGCTGGGCGTGGTCGGCCGCAAGATTGGGCAGACGAGAATGCAAGCTGGAGATGAGAGGTGAGGTGAGATACACTTCCGATCCTTCCATGCGTGGTGTAAAAACTCACGATTGGGGCGAGTGGGATATGAAAAGAAAGGCGTATAAGAAAGGTTAAGGAGGTGAAGCCTCCAGTTTGTGTTTGTATTCGATCTTGCGGCTGTTTGTGGCTTATGTAATCTTTCCATATTTTTCCTACCCGACAGGATTTGGGTAGCCAGATTCTTGACCAATTGTCAACGTCCATCTCTACCGAATGCTGCTGGGGTAGTTCTTACCAAGTCAGCAGCTCTGTGATCCTTATCATTCCTGCAGCTTGGACCGGGTACTGTTGATCCGCCGTTCGTTCGCGCCCACCAAATCTCCCAGACCAGCCATGCCAATGATCATAAATCCATCCGCTTTACTCTTTGGAACGTCATTTCAATGTCATCCTCACACTATTGCTTGGCCTTCCGTGCTGGATTGTGTGTGTCTCCGATCCGCAGAGACTTGGCACTCTGCGCCGCTTCCTTGCTCGAACCTTGCCCTTCCTCGTGGATCGTTGGGGTGGATGTTCGAACAGGGGGACTCCCCACATCTCCCCAACCGTTGGGTTTTTGTTTGGTTTCCTTTCTCCACGGGGTCGGGATGCCGGGAGGTCTGGCACCATCTCAATGCTGCCGCAGTGTTCCCTCCGCCGGAGGATCGTGTGTGTCACCTTTGTTGAGCTGCCCGTTGTGCAAACACATTTTACTGTAAAGATTTTTAAAGACATATCGAACACATATATTGGAGTGACAAAATGCAAAAGAACGAGCTGGTTGAGTGGGGATGGCTGTATGGTCGAGTGTGTTTGTTCCTCTGATGTGTTACAGGCATTCCATGCCGGCACTTAATCCCTTACACCGATTCAAGACACGGCCCAACCCCCATTTTAGCCAATATAAGATCTCGCTTTGTTATTGTTGTTTTAATATAGGGGGTCCCTGCAAACTCGTATCAAGAATTGACAAAAAGCTCACGATCGAAGGGTTACCTTATAAAAATAGCCTGATTCTATATTCTTTCATGAACTTCCATCTTCGCTTATCAACTAAAGATTTCCGATAGGTGATGCCACCGTGCCATGTGGTGCCAGGCCTCAACGATCTTAATCAATTGAACACGCCCCGGAATGACCGGAAAGGTGCAGTTTAGTAGTAGAAAGTAGCGGAGACAATTTAGACACAAAGGGGAAACTGTTTTTTTTAAAGTAGGGTAGTGTTTTTAAATAGGAACTCAGTATTCAGTTGTTGATCGCCCCTTACACTAATTGGATGAGGACAAAGGTGGCTCTGGCACCACCAAAACGCAAGTAGGAAGCTGGTATGTAGATGCACCACATCCATCACAAATGCCATAATGTTTGACCCATCCCCAGGTCCAGACATCGCAGGCCTCAAGAAAGAGCCGGTGAGTTGGTGCAGCAGCTGTGCGAAGCAGTGACCGAAAGAAACCTGGATGAATTGACTTTGCACAGCCCAGTTCATGAATTCATCCCGGTGACCTTCCCGGCAGCGAAACAACGAACATACTGCAGACTGGAGATAGAAGAAACACAAATCCAAAAAAGGATCCTGAGTGAACTCGAAAATGTTCAGAGAAGCTACCAGCCCATGGCCGGAGGTAGTGCTGGTAAGATGATGGTAGAATAAAACAAACACCCAGTCAGTGGATAACCTGCAAAGCCTTTCAGTGATTAGGGGCATCCCACTGGAAATTAACAGATAAAAAATAAGAAACACATAGCCGGCTAACTCTATTTTCTAGCGAGAAACACATAGCCGGCTAACTCTATTTTCTAGCGAAACGGCAGCGCAAGGAGTCAGTACTTTTTAGCATTATAGCAGCTAATCGAAGTGGGATGAAGTTGGTCTTTTTTCATTAAACTCCCCACGGGTTTGACTATGACCACAATCTCAGGAAATCTTGCGGCGACTTTGCTGCCAGAAATGAGACGTTCAAAGCAGATTCTGGGGCAAGTCTTGAGCATGTTCCGTGAGCAAAACCGATGGCACTTGGCATGCGTTGTTTTGGAGGCGATCAAGGAAGATGGTGGCATAAAGCTGAATGAGTCCAATTATACAACTGGGATTTCAATTTGTGCGAAGGCGAACGCGTGGCAGCAAGCCTTGAAGTTGTTCCAGGCCATGCCCAACGCGAAAGTTCAGCCAGGGGTTATCAGTTGCAGTGCTGCCATCAGAGCCTGCGAAAGGGGCAGCCAATGGCAGCAAGCATTGAAGTTGTTTGAGGCCATGCCCGAGACACATGTTCAGCCCGATTTGATCAGCTACAGTGTGACCATCAGCGCCTGTGAGAAGGGTGGTCAATGGAAACAAGCATTGAAACTGTTTGAGGCCATGCCACATGCTCAAGTCCAGCCGGACGTCATCAGCTACAGTGCGGCCATCAGTGCCTGCGAGAAGGGCGGGCAGTGGCAGGAAGCATTGGAATTGTTTCAGGGTATGCACCATGCGCAAGTTCAACAGAACATCATCAGCTACAGTGCTGCCATCAGTGCTTGCGAGAAGGCAGGGCAGTGGCAACCAGCGTTGAAGTTGTTTGAGGGCATGTGCGAGTGGAAAATTAAGCCGGATGTCATCAGCTACAATGCTGCCACCAGTGCCTGCGAGAAGGGCGGGCAATGGCAGCAAGCATTGCAGCTATTTAAGTCCATGCCTGATTTAAAGGTTCAACCCAACATCATCAGCTACAATGCAGCCATCAGCGCCTGCGAAAAAGGTGGACAATGGAACGCAGCGTTGACGTTGTTGGAGGGCATGTCGACGGCAAAAGTTCACCCAGATCGTATCAGCTGCAGTGCGGCAATCAGTTCCTGTGAGAAGGGCGGGCAATGGCAGCAAGCACTGAAGTTGTTTGAGGCCATGCCCGAGGCACATGTTCAGCCAGATCTTATCAGCTACAGTGCGGCCATCAGTGCCTGTGAGAAGGGCGGGCAATGGCAGCAAGCGTTGCAGTTGATCGAGGCCATGCCCAAAGCGAAGGTTCAGCCGGGGGTTGTCAGCTACAGTGCGGCAATCAGTGCCTGTGAGAAGGGCGGGCAGTGGCAGCAAGCATTGAAGCTCTTTCAGGAAATGCCAGATGCAAAGGTTCAGCCCAACATCTTCAGCTATAGCGCGGCAATCAGTGCCTGTGAAAAGAGTGGTCAGTGGCAGCAAGCATTGATGTTGTTTGAGGCCCTGCCAAAAGCCAAAGTTCAACTTGATGTCGTCAGCTACAGTGCAGCCATCAGTGCCTGTGGGAAGGGTGGGCAATGGCAGCAAGCATTTGAGCTGTTTGAGGCCATGCCCAAGGCAAACATTCAGCCCAGGATCATCAGCTACAATGCGGCCATCAGTGCGTGTGAAAAATGTGGGCAAGTTCACCAAGCATTGAAGTTGTTTGAGGGTATGCCCGGGGCTATAGTTCAGCCCGACGTCGTCAGCTATAGTGCGGCCATCAGTGCTTGTGAGAAGGGCGAGGAATGGCAGCAAGCATTGAAGTTGTTTGAGTCCATGAGAGCACAAAGGGTTCAACCCAATGTCATCACCTACAATGCGGCCATCAGTGCCTGTGAAAAGGGCGGGCAATTTCAGCAAGCACTAATGCTGTTTGAGGCCATGCATACAGTGAAAGTTCAGCCCAATGTCATCAGTTACAGTGCGACCCTGAGTGCCTGCGAGAAGGGCGGTCAATGGCGGCAAGCATTGAAGCTGTTTGGGGCCATGTCTAAAGCAATAGTTCAAGCAGATGTCATCTGCTACAGTGCGGCCATCAGTGCCTGTGAGAAGGGCAGGCAGTGGCTGCAAGCACTGATCTATTTTCAGGAAATGGCCTCGCAAGGGGAATCTTTGGCCAGATCATATCAGCCGAGCAGTCGTTTGGCGTTCAGCCTGTGAGCAGTCGTTTGGAATGGTTACAGCATTGACGGTTTCTATTCTTGGCCATGTCCGGAGTTTCAGCCAAGTTTGATCACTTTGCTGCCTTTGACGTGTCAATCGGCAATGTGACCTGGACCAGAACTGTCCATTGAGCGAGAGCTTCACGTCGATCGACCAGCCCATGACTTCCTGCCGTCGAGCACAAGCGGTAGCTCCACATCAGTGGTGCTTGGTAGCGGGGCATAAGAAGAAGTTGACAAGTCTCATCCAGCACCCCCGGTCGGGGCGGTTAGTGGACACCCCGAATCATAGAGTTTCGGGGCTATACATATAGACACCCCGACAGGAGGGTCCTGGATGTAGTCGTCTCATATAAAAGTGTTGCAAGGAGTTGGACACCGTACGGCCTGATGGTGTGCATCAGATACGTGCCAATGCTTGGATCTCTTGCAAAGTCTTGGGCTTGCACACGGGTCCAGGTCGAATTGGACTTCCTTTGAGGCAGGTGCACTTCACGTGTTGCCGGCTTGAACCACTGAGTCTTGGACTTTGCCTTTGCTGCATCACCCGGCATCACCAGCAACAGCCCACCTGCCAAGCGGACAAGCCTACTAGTTTGATCACTGATGAATGGTAAGGAAACATCGGGTTCTACACAGCCATCACGGGCAATTAGAATTTTGATGCTTCCCAGACACTCCCTGTATGGAATCCTGAAGCCAGCCCCATTTATAGATTCATACACAGAGTGTTTGGGTTATTGCTGGAAACGACTCACTTTGGGGCCTCACCACCACTGTTTGCTTCCACAAGCATTCTCAGACCAGAAAGCACAGTTCTTGTGGCGTGGCAAGAAAACAAGGCCGAAGGCAAATCCATGCAAGTCTTCATCTCGCACAGCTCTCCCTACCCAATCAGTAGATATGGCCTGATAGCCTTTAGCCTTTTTTGGGGATTGTTTTCCCAACACAATATGAGCAGATGGAACAAGGCTGAGGGAATCTGATGGAGTCAGACTCCTGTTTGCATTTTCACTTGCCTAGCTAAGCCTTCAGCATCGTTTGTATTCAGGGATGTGTTTTGGGGATGGGTGGTTGTCAATGGTTTTCAGACATTTTGGTTTTCAACCTTTCCATTAGGATGATTTCACCCACTGACTCACATGTGTTCTTCGTTTTCATTGCCACCACCTACTTTGACTTTAACCAAAATCTTTCGTGGGATATAGGAACCGGTACCTTCCCCGGTTGGTCTAGTCATCCCTTTTCCGGAACTCGGACTGCGTCGTCCCATATTCGAGGCTGCCAAGCCGGAGGAGCTGCGCACCGCGCTGGCGGCGGAGTCGGACGCGGCACCTGGGTGGCGGAAGAATTGCACGGCCCATGGACAACTGGAAGAAATTGGACGTGCAAAGAACCATGAGTGGCCATGGGCCAGACACTCCATGTATGGCATATTTCCTTACATTGGGGTGGTTTCAGTGCTCAATGTAGGCATATGTGCCATACATGGAGTGTTTGGGATGGGCCATGACCATGGGACTGAGTTCCAAGTTCCCTTTTTCGGACTTTCCTGAACACTCAGCACCGCCCCCCGGGCGGCCATGTGTGCCTCATTTGTAGGTTTTTTTGAAGATTCCAGTCCCATGGATTGTTGGGGTAGGGAATTGGCCGGTGATTTTGGAGAAACTCAAGCCCAGTCAAACCAAGAATTCACAAGAATACTTGGAAGAACCAGGATGATATAATGAGTGGACAGCTCCTCTCCATATGGTGGAATATGTTCCCCGCCTCCTCCGGACGGTGTTCGGTGTTCGGTGTGGAGCGCAAAACGACACGGTGTAACGGTGAAGGAGCTGAGAAGGGTGTGAAAGCCTGCAAGGGTGTGCCAAGTGGACCTTTAGTGAAGTCTTTTTGGAAGTTCAGTGGGCAAAAAAAAGAGCGTATAGACGATGACTACCACCATCATTGCCGAAGACATACATGGAGAGTAGCCAGTGCGAGCCGCGCGTCACCGCACGGCAAAATGACCTAAGTGGCCTTAGTCAAAGCAAGCCAAGACCAAAACTGACAAATTCAAGACCTGCGCGCTTCCAGGCACCGCTGCCTAACCGCTGCAAGCCACCTCATAATTTTTGGTTTCCACCAAGAGCTTTCCTTTGGAAAGCCCAGTACCCACCGCGCGTCTCCGCGCAACAATGACCTAAGTGGCCTTAGTCGAAGCAAACTCAGACCAAAAACTCACAGATTCAAGACCTGCGCACTTCCAGGCACCGCCGCCTAACCGCCGCAAGCCATCTCAGAATTTTTCCATCAAGAGCTTTTCGGTTTGAAAGCCCAGAAGGCCAGCCCAATCTATGTTGCATAACGTCAAAACAAGAAGCAAAGGAAACGTCCGGGGGCCTAGGGGCAAAAGTACAGTCCCAAGCACAGTGCCGCCATGTAGCGCGCTCTCCCTCCCCACCACACCAAGGATAAGAGAACCCAGAACCAGGGACCATGTTTTCAAATCTCGCAGGGCTGACTTGAGCCCCTGTGACCACCGCCACTTCATGGCTGGACAGGTGCAAAAGCCTGAGGATCTTGACCCGAGGCGCAGAGTAAATTGTTCCCGCGCACTCACGGCTATCCACTCGATCCATGGCTAGCCATTTATGAAAAAAGGTGTGCCTCCAAGATTCTCGGAGAAGGTGCCGGACCTCACGCACATGGTCTTTCCAACCAGCATCCTGTTCAATGAAGCTCAGGGTCGTTTGCAATCCCGGATGAGACCAAGTCCAAGAGGAGGACTCCGTCCAACCAAGGTCATGAAGTCCTTGACGCAATGCGCCAGGCCAGCCAGACTTTTCATTTTGCCAATCCAGCAATTGTGTGTGATGTCTTGAGACCAACCTATACAGGATGGAGCAAACGGTATGCACGGACTGAAATCGAAGGTCCCACGCGTGGCCTCTAACAATACCATAGAGGTGTGTGCTAGCATGTGTAGGGGTCCTGAACAACTTTCGGCAAATGGCCTCAAATGGTCTGACGTCCACAAGGGCAGGCCTTCGGAATGCCCAACCCCAGATTTATGACATAGGCTAGGGCCTTCCTGAGAAGTGACTGGAAGGTGCAGCATCGAGGAAGAATCAAATTTTTCAGCATCCGCAGGGCCACTGTTTTTTATTTTACTGTATTTGCATTTTTTGAAGGAGCGACAGTCGGGAGCCAGGTGCCTGGTGGGTCACTGCTCGGTGCTGAGGTGGTTCAGGAGTACATTTGCAGACCGTTGCTCATAGATGGCCATAAGTGGGATTTGTGCCTGGGATGTGAGATGAGAAGGGCTAGAAGATGAAGAGGAAGGGCTGAGAGGATTTGTTATAACTTTTTGTTTTAAAGGGTTGATGGGATAAACGGATTCGGAGGTTTAGTCCTGGGCCTTGAGTTTGAAAAGTGAGTGATTTCAACGATGCACTTGAGAGCGTTTTCATTATTGCGTTGAACCTTCTTGCATCAACAGAAGCAATTCTCAGCCAATGTTTGGCCTACTGAAGAGCCTTTAACCTTTTTTGGGGATTGATGAGGATTAGTTTCCCCACTCAACAGATGGAAAGCTTGGTCAACATTCATTATATATATATATATATATATCAAGAGGGAAACTGAGGGAGTTAGTTCTTCTATGTCCTTTTGCGACCCATCCATGTAAGTAACTATTCCATCATATTAATATTCCATCCATGGACCATGGATGGTTTGGGAACTCACCCATCGCAGGGAGTCTCAACTAAAGCCCTTGGAAGCTAAGGCGTCTTTACGCCCTGGTGGCTCGGCGAGCAAGCTGGGTGAGCAGGGTGGGAGCTGTACGCCCTGGTTCCGGGACCTGGTTCCAGGAATCCGAAAACCACCTTGTTTCGAACTCGGAGGTTCCAGGGGAAGAGCCTCCAGACTGATGTTGCTGACTCGGATTCGCCACCCCCATATAAGTGCACCAGACTATTTGGTAGGCGCAGGCAGTGGTTTGTGCTGAGGTTTGTCCACGGCAGTCCACAAACAGCACAGCGTCCGGGTCAGACGGCAAGACAGTTCTGTTTTTGTTTTGTGGACAGGGGAGAGTATTTGATCTATATGTCTTCTGACGGAGAGACTGACACTCGGAGACCCGCTCACAGGGCTTACAGTAGTTGTTTTCTTTGACCCTAAGCTTTGTTGCACTCTGAGGTCATGCCTCATAGACAAGGCCTCCGCTGCTGGTTGGCCAAGGAAGGCATCGCGCGCGTGTGCGCCGAGCCCTACCAGGACACTAAGTGGATCGGTGTGCGGCAGCTGGCACCAGGTGAAACCTTCAGTTGTTTGTAGACTTTTGAGATCTGTTGATCTATATATGACCCAGAATCGTTTACGTCTCCATCTGGGGAGGTCTTATTAATCAACAGCCTACATGATTGTGTATGTATATATATATTATCAAGCTGCTCACTTTTCAACAGGCTTCTGCCTGGCTTAGAGAGCGGTCCGCAGCTGATCTTTGTGTCCCTTGTCGCGGTCCGGAGACCCCCTGGCCCGTTTCGGGTTGACTGGGAGTTAGAGACCTCCCTTTGACACTACACACCCATATAGATGGTATATGCATGTTCAGTTCCTGGATAATTATACACATAGAATAGAACACCGTTTTCTTGTGATTTTATGGCTTCTGATGTACTGTACCTATTTGTACCCCGTTTGTCAATGCAAGAATAGAATCAAAGTGATTATCAGTTTCATCCACATGAGATCCCTCACGGTCGATATGATCCGGATGGCTGGTAGCTTCATCTAGCCGTTGGCAAAGCAGGGGGCAATATATGTTTCAAGAAGGTTCCTATACCAGCAGACCGTGTCAGGCATATGTGTTGGTAATAGGGTATGCATACAGTCCGCCCGTTAGGGTTCAAAGACCATCTCTTTGGGTCTCCTGGTGCCCTCTATGTAATTATTGTATGTATTTACAGCCTCTCTTAGCCCTCGGTGCTTTACCAATTTGGGTTCCACACCTGTTGCGCAGGGTTCGATGTTCGTTTGATTTGCCTGTTGGAATTGCATGGTAATGCAATGTGTCTATGGAACACCCAATGGTCAACACCTTGCTGTGTGTGGCGGACTTGGGGATGGTTGCTAGATGTTCCTACGTTTGAGGGTCAAGTTCGCTTGCACCACCTCCATCTCTTCTTCTGCGAACTGACATGGTTTACTTGACTATGCGGATGAGCTTCGGCACCCTTTGAGAGCATGTGCCAAGCGGGATTCTACAGCTCCAGCAGGAACCAGATCGACAGAATTTGCGAAAGGAGACCATGCACCTCACTAACTACAGCTTGATTCCCGCCTGCGAGTCCCGAACGCCGCGGTTGCTTCATGCGGTTTGGGTCGTAGACCTCCGCGAACTCGTTGCTTCGGCTGCCGCGCCTTCGAAGGCTCGGCCTCCGGTTTTGGGCCGTCGGATGTGGGTGCGACCCTTCCATGTTGAAGCGACCCTTCCAGCTTCTTCGTGACCTTTTTGGAGTCCGGAGTCCCTTGTATACAGGCCTAAGTCCTGCTTGTAACCTCTAACCAGGTGAGCAATTTAGGCACCTTGGAAGAACCACGATCATAACATTCAGTTCATGTTCTTTTGTCTCTATGTTGCACGAAACAGTTCAGGATAGTTCAGGTTTTGTTGTGGGGTGGACATAGCCGCGAGATGGGGAAGCCAGCACAGACAGCACTTGTGATTCCAGGCTGCCTAGCCTGGCAACGTTGGGGCTATCAACTAAGCAAAGTTTTGGAACCAACATAAACCACCGTATAGACCATGGGGCTGGAAGAGTTACGCCACCATGGATGAGTCATTTTCAGGGGGTAAATGTATATGTAACCAGCAACAGTCCCGTGGATGGTGTGGGCATGATTAGAATAATCCCATAGATGTTATCACGAAAAAAAAAGGCTTTGAAGGAAGTCATCATCCAAACTGTTTCTGATATGGCTGCAATATTTCGATCTCTTTGTCTCCACACCCCAGTCGGGGCATCCTCATGTCGCGCACGCCAAGGAACAAGCGTTCCGATAGGCCTGCGTCCGTGTCGTGGTGTTTTCTTTGCAAAGAAGGCATCGAGCATCTTGAAAGAGAAACCCCCAGCAAAACTTCTTTTTATGGTCAGGACACATATACCCATGCTGGTTGGCCCTCCACAAAAGAGAACAAGGAATACACATGACACGAAACAAGCAATTGTTCGCATGTTCTGTTTTTGTCTCTTCACCTTTAAGACATGCCCCTGAAATCCCAGCGCGAAGAGATGTAGCAACATAGTGCTAGCGCACATGGAATCCCACATGCTACAGCCCATTGGTTGTTTTCAGATTCAGCCAAATCACGGTGCTTCGATCCAACCGCCGGTTGACCGCGGAGTAGTTCACTCGACACGGCTTCAAGTTTGGGGTGCTGCTGCAGAGGCAGCTGTTTGACGCCAAAAGCTGCCGATCCAAGCCACAGGTCACCATGATAGGTGACCCCTGGTTTTGTGGATCAGGTGATTTCTTATTTTCCCTATGGTATTAAATCCCGTTCCGGATAAGTTGTTTTTGGGTTCCTTAAGAAGATTTGTCAGAGTCCATTCTGTTGATTCGGAGACGCCAAAATTAAGTTGACCTGTCGGTACCCCATGTCAGAAAACACTGGACTCAGTTGTATCCTTTTTGGATCTTTTTGGGGGGTACACCGGCCCACAGGTCAATATACTGCCATGAAGTCATTGCCACGACCCAGGCTCTTTTCTCTCCAGGTTTGCTTGAAAACTGAGCCACATGGCCACAAAGCAGCAGTTTTGCCGAAATGAACCGGGTCTTTACGATGTGACCATGTTCATCTACCAGTGTACCCCGTGTTTGGACGCTTTTTCCCCTCCCTCCAGTCATGGTGGAAGTGGATGGCATGGCCCCTTTAAAAGACAATGTTCCTCTACAAACAGGGGGTTGTCCCCTTCCATGCTTCTTGGAGGCGAAATAACCAGCGCCACTCCAGACGGGGATCGCAAGAAAAATGTTTCGCCACTGCCACGGCTGGGCTGCCACACTGGGGGCCAAACCAGACCGGTTCTGCTTCAAGTGATGTTTCCTTTCACCGAACTGGGTGCCTCAGAATCCCGAGAGAGTTCATTCATGGTCCGGTGGCTGAATTACCCGCTCGCGCACCCAAATTCCTAGATGGCGGTTTTGCTTGACCCTCGTTCCAAGCAACTTCGGGGTCCGGATGGGCCCGGGTGGTGTAGCCAAATCCGATGGCGCCAGGTTCGTCTTGAACGAGGATCCAGCTTCAGGCCGCTCAGGCAGCAAGCGGACCTTGTCCGCTGTGCTGTCGCACCTGCAGCGAGAGGGGACGTCGGCCGCCTGAGCGGACGTCGGACGTTGGACGGGACGGGACGGATGTGGCCAGAATGAAGGTGCCAAAAAGCAACACTCCAAGGGCAGGAGGACAGGGGGATGGCATGGGATCATTCAAGGGGGGAACTGTAAAGTATGGTTTCAAAGACATCACATCAGACATGATCTCGGACCAACGGCACCAGCTGGGATGCCTTTTGTGTCCTTTTGATTCCTTTTGTTATTAATATGTTATTTTGTGTAAGATATGGTAGTCAGAGGGCAAATTTGGCTCAATACCACCAATCGCCGGAAGAAAAGAGGTCACATTCCCTGTGAATCAGACCCTCCCGTGACGCATCGACCGCGTTGCGCGCATCAACGGAGCCGCCCAGGGTCGTCGCGAACCAGGCGCCAGCAACGTTGGTCGGTGTATATTGTATACTTGGTGGTGGAATAAGTCTTCGGCAAGCAAAGGAGGCCCCTTTAGGCTAGTAGGTGCCCCTGTAACAGTCTGTAAAGGATGATCACTGACGCACAAAGGTCTTTGCTAAGCATCTGCTAGTGGGAATTGGAAGTACATGGAAATACCAAAAAGTAGGTCTAACCATTAGCAGTCAAAGCTAGCCTTTCCGTTCAGTCTTGGTCCCGTCCATAAGAGGCTGTCCCAGTTCATTGTCATGCAAAACATATGATATTATAGATGTCATTTTCGATGTTAGCTGGAGCAAGTGTATGACATACATTATGAGGTGGGGTTGGTCAGGGCTGTCCGTGGAACTTCGCCCTTCTTGGACATCGCGGAACTTCGAAATCTAAACTGCATGCACGTCGGATCCGTCGGATGATGCCCTTGCCATGGTATCAGCCATTGTGATAACATGTGAATTGCTTATTCGACCTGAGCCGATTACTCGACAGGTTTGGGAGACTCTTGGACACATGGTTTCTGATTGCATTGGCTCCTTGGCATTGCCGAAGCGACGAGATCGGCTGTCCCATACTCGTGATGTTGTGCTATTTTCGCTGGCCAGTGCCAGCAAGACTGAACCCTTCAAAGCTGGGAATATTTTGGGACATGCCATGGCACAGCACGTACTGGTAAGAGACTCCGGTTCTGATAGGGATTCAATCGCTTTTTTGGGGTGACATCCAATGCACATCACGTACTGCAAAAAAAGAACAAGGTGAAAGGTTCCTTTTCATGTTGTCTCCCCCCACCCTCCAGCAATGAAGACCCTGGTGACACCTTTGGATAGTGTTTCTGAATCTGGTGGAAGGACTTAAAATTTTTACTTTGTGTGCGGAAGATGGTGGAGGCATGCGTCAGAAGCATGACTCATAACAAGTTATGACTCAACATCACCTCTAATGGTGGTAGTTTTCTAGCTGGTGCTCAGAAGGAAGCTAAGGAGCCGGGGGCCGGGGGCATCCATATTCCCTGTTAATCAGGGAGCCAAGGAAGCTTCTTTTAATTTTTCTTTGGGTTTTGGTTATTTGGGTTCGGTTTGGGTCCGTAATCCTTGGATTCGGAAGAGGCCATGCAACTCCATCAGCATCACGATATGTTTGATAGCTACAGGCACTGCTCTGAAGGTCAACCTGTGCTTTTTGGAAGGAGCTGGTATGTTTCAGTACAACTGAAGAAGTCGGTCTTCCTCCTCCTGGCCGACTCGGCGCGTACCAAACCGCCGGTTGCCCCCCCCAAAAATGTTAAAGGTCAAGATTCCAAACAATCTCAAGCATCAGTCCTGGCCTATGCACGTGTTTTTGTTGCATCCCGATGTTCATCTGAAGTGTTGAGTGTGAAGTACTTGGAGTCAGAGGCAAGCGATGGGTTCACTTGACAACCTTGCATGTCCAATCCAAACAGTCAATCAACCCCCACAAGTCAATCCTCCATCGGTCGACTCGGGTCAAACCGGGATTTGCAAAAAGAGGTCCATCCCCAGACCTGACAATTGGGACTGGAATAGTTTACATACATTTACCGTTATACCACCACATGAAAATGCCCCATGCCAGGTATGACATATGGTATGAAACTCTTCCGGTCAAGTCGAAGGGACGAACGATGGAGCTGGAGCTGGGTCTCCTCCCATGAGACGTTCAGGAGCGATGGAGGAGGAGCTGAAGAAGCTCGCCTTTGATCCCGCCTCTTGGGGCGGACAAGAGGAGGCCGTTTCTTCGGCCGGCCGGTGGCCGAGCGATTCGCCGGAGTTCTCAGGCACGCGGACGGAGAAATCTGCGTGTGAAGAGGTGGTAAGAGGTGGTAAGACGCAAACGCGTTTCAACTGTTTGTGGGAGGTGGTCAGGTGGTTGGAGATTGTGTGGTGAAGGCCCCACATGGTGCAATGGTGCAAGGCTCACCCTCGACCTTGAAAGAACATTCCCAAACCCTTCCATCAGAGGAGGATGGCCAAAAAGATGCCGAAAGGCTGCCAAGGTAAAAGCTACGAGTAGTGACCGATGCTCACGCATATAAGGACGTTAATTGCTTTTCAGATCATTTTGTTGCTCTTGGCGTGCTACCATTTGAGCAGAGTACCTCAGATTCGAGTGCCCTAGAAGCACCTGAAACATATCGATGCTCTATGCCTCTATGCATGTTTGATCAGCGAATCCTCAACCAATTTTGGCTCCCTGCAGGTTGTACAGGCAGTTCGCCAACACTTTGACCAGAGCTTTCACATCCTGGGTGTGGGTGCCCGGTGGGAGGGGTCCCGACCAACTGTGGTACGTATCCAGCATGTGCCACCACGGTTTGGTCTCCTTGCTGACTATAGCTCAGAGAAAAGTGTTCACTTCAACAGGGGGCCCAACAGCAGGCCCAGCCTCACCACTCTATGACACCCATCCTGTTGATTCGTTCTCCATGCGAATCCCACGTCGGGCGACTTGAAGGACATTTGAGTAGATTTGTTCAATGACATTGCGACATTCTCCTCAAATACCTGGCGCCATGCAGGGCCAAAGTGTTGCCACCCCAGTCTGAAGTCCACGTGCCCCCCTCCGCTGGGAGAATTGGATATCTCGACTTTTGTCTTCAGTCGAACAGAAGCTGCAGGTAGGTTTTGCCAAGGACTCGATGTCCTACTGACGATCCTTGGTAAGTCCTTGGATGTACTCTATAACACCCATCTTTGATCCTGTTCCCTGCCAAGGACTCGATGTCTTACTGGATTCTTCCGGAAAGCCTTGGCTCCTGGAGGCCGGAGCCAAGGGTCACCAAGGGTACGGGGCCTCGTTTTCACCCTCGCCTGACAGGCGAAGAAGAAGACCTACTTGTAACACAGATTCACCTTCCAAGGCAGAGGTAAGAAAGTTCACTTGATGAGGTAGAGGATCCGCTGGGATAGAACGGATCCGTTGGGAGAGAACAACCGTTCGGGTATGCTATGGTATTGCTCAATTGGTTTTCGTCCTGAGTTGAGTACAGTCCGGGTGAGTGGAAACTTGGAATGGACATGCTGGACATGGAGAAACACATACCTGGCCATTTCCTGCTTCTGTTACTGGCAGTGATGCTGTTGGACAGACCTCCGGCACCTTTGACCGCACCTTGTTTCCGGCCAACTGCCAACTGCGCTTGGCTGGCGGCACAAAAGCACCGCAAAGAGAGTCGTCAAGAGTTGTAACATCTATACCTACCCAGTCAGTATACATGACCTTTTGACCTTGATATTCCAGGCAAACCGAGTCAGTCTCTTTTTGGTTCTCTTCCTTCACAGAACCTCTTTTCTCCCTTCACATCGACGTCTTGACAGGACTTCAGCAGGTCCTTCTGCGCTCGCGGGACGTTCTGCGCTGCCGCTGCGACAGCAGGTCCCACGGTGGACCGGCCAGGTGAATTGCAACCCTTCTTTCAGCCTGGATGAGATCCATCCCTTGGACACCGAGAAGCTGGGCATCTCCAGTACCAGGCAGCTGCCGCCATGCCAGTGCGGGGAGGGGTTATATGTTTGCGTTCGGTGCCCCGGTTCCGGGGGCGCTGGAATGATCAGGCCCGGACTGGCAGGGACAGTTTAACTATATAATTGGTTGGAAGTTGGAAAATGTTGAAATGAAGTCACCACTGCAGGGCTCTTGGAATAAAGATCATCAAAGATCCACTTTAGCTTCGGAACAGTCACCAGTTGGGACACACAACATAGTTTCGGCCGACTTGGCGAACCGCAATGGAGCATGGCCTTGATTCTTGTTTGGCAGGACGAGCCGTTGACTGCCCTCTATTCCAGTATAGGCTAGGCATGTATACTGTACATGATGAAGAAGCCCCGGATGGTTATAGGGCAAACCCTGCCTGTGAGTTCAAGGTGGAAAAGGCACATCGCAAGCAAACAGAAGACAGGACATTTAGCACGCACACACACAAATTGGATAAACACTGAATCAAGTGCAGGCTTGTTCGGTGAACAGGCCTATTTGGCATTGGATGATCAGGAACAGATCTTGCCCTAAAATTTGTTATAGCACAAGTAGGTTCACCCTTCACCAGCAAGTTTGTTTTTGAAGCACTTAGACTTGCAGGGTTCTGGAGTCACACGATTTGACCATCCATTGGATGCCACCCACCTCGGCAGAAATCCAACAACCACACTACCTCTCCAGTCTCCAGTGGTCTTCCGTCCGGTGCAGGGTCGGACTGTGCCTCTGTGCTGCTCACCCTCGGCCTCATCAGCACCAGCTCAGTCCTGTCGACCTGGCGCCTCGGCAGAGCACCGCACCGCTCCGAATCCGCGTGCAGAGCCGGCTTTCCGCGTGGGGCCGGCGTGGGGCCGTGCGACGTGTTTGTGGCGCCGGGTGGGGTGTTCTGCAAAGAAGACGAAGCTCTACACATGGGTTTTCCCCTATATATGGTGCAGCGGATGGTCCTGATTTCGGATGACCATGTTCCATCATTCCATCGTTTTCTTGTATAGACTGAGGGGTGGACCCCACTGCCATGTTAGAGTGTGAGTGCTAGTTGGTTTCACTGGAACTTCGAAACATGAAATTATGCACCACCTTGCCGTTTGGGAAATGAAGCAAGGAGGGAGGGCGCCTGCAATCGTTGGTCCAGACGGAGCGGAAGATCAAGGCTTTAGGTTAACTATACCGCGGTATATCAGGCAGGTATACCTACTGTAGCTCATGTTCAATACAATGCGATGTTTGGACCATTTTTGTCCTCAACAATCCTGCTTTGTCACTTGAACTTGAAGTCCCTTCGCGCCCGGTGCTGGAGCAAAGGCAGTGAAGGTGCCGGTGCTGGAGGGTGGCCTTTTGATTGTTCGTCGTCGGGGCCTGAGGACATCGACGGACGGAAGGGCGGATTTGACGGTCTCGGGTCTCGGAGCATTTGGAGCGAGCGCAGGCAGTCAGGCAGGGCCCAGAATAGTGGTTCTTCAAGAGGTGAAGGCACCCAGACTATCCCAGACTCCTTCAAACTGATTTGATGCTGCCTAGTGTTGACGGAAGAGTGTTCCTGAAACACCTGGTGGGACAGAACAGACATCCCGGACCAGCGGTTGACCTCAAGCTTGCCCTTAGGTCGCACAAAAGCGCCTTGGCCATACTTCCAAATAGTGCGTGAACATGTTCTATAGGCATATATATATATATACCCAGACACTCATAGACACTCCATGTATGTCATGTTCTTACATTGACCCCAGGTCCACCAATCCAATGACATCATGGTGTGTTTGGGATTTGGGCTTTGCAACACGTCAACATCCGAGCCGAAATGGCCAGGTGAAATGGCTCAAGACCACGACCGCGGCGATTCCACGACTGGGACCATCTACATGGAGCTGGTGGGAGGGAACTGGAAGGAATGAAGAATGTCCCCATGGGAGGAATGAAGATGGATCTGAGGTGTCGAATTCCAACAAGGACCTTTGGATTGAGGTGGTAGGGTTTGGCATATGAGAAGTTCGATTGGTTTTTGGAAGTTCTGGCAGTGGCCAGTTTTCGTGACTAGGGAGCCAGAAACAAAGGACGATCGACCGATCTCGGACTTGGAAGACTACTCAGTGGTTCTCAGGTTCCATATGGGTCTCTTCCAGGGCTTGTGGGGCCACCTCTGCCGGCTCGCGTGTCTACGAACTGCCAGAAGCCCGTCAGTGGCAGCGGTCCACCGGTGAAGACATGTGAAGGTCTTTGTGAAGGCTCCTAGTAGCAATGCCAGGAGCCCCTAATGGCGTCCTTGCTCCTAGGCCACAAACCCCTAGTAGCTTCTTGTTCCTAATGTTCTTTAAATGTTTTTTTTCCATGTGAAAACCTTTCCCCCTTCCTGGTGTGTTAATTTTTGCTATATTATAGCCATATAGCATCATATAGCTATAGCTTTGGGAGAAGCAGACGTAACGGTGTTTCCAAGCCGCTTTTTGTTGGGGCGGGTTCCGGAGATGCTTCCACTGGGGTTTCGGAGATTCAGAATGGTTTGTCCGAGCTCCTCCTCTTCGGTGGCAGGGCTGCGGGTCGGAGTGAAGATGAGTGAAGCGGATGGCCCAAGGGACAGGGATCCAAGGCTGAAATCCTCTCATCCGGAGGCGGTCCTAGCGCAATTTGGGTGCTTAGATGCCATTCCATCCAGAGCCTGGAAGGAGCCTTTTAGTAGCTTTTGGCACACAAGTAGTGGTGGAAGAAACATGTTTTGCTGACATATATTGTTTTGAGGTGCGCCACTTTAGTGAGATCCATGCAACATCATGCAACTTATTATGCACTCTTGCGTGCTCATTTACAAGACCTACAACTCGCCATCCTCGATGATGAAAGACTTTACGAGCGAATCGGTTTAAACCGCCCTTTAAGCAAGCACAGGGCATCATCCTGCGAAATCAGGTTTGAAGGCTGCAATCCTTGTCCGTTTGGCTGTCCTGGCATTTGTTTAGGAACCGTTTAATGTTTAAGCCCAGGAAGGTTGAGCAGAACACCTGGAACCATCAAAACGATGGATTCCAGGATGTAACCCTCCTCGAACGGAGCCAGTGGAAGACGCCGGAACTTTTGTTGATGAAGCCGACTGAGTCTGGGAGTAGTCTAGGACACTTGGAATCATGTGTTGCTAACATGGTGCTTCCAATGGTTCGTCATCGACCCCAGTGGTGAAGGTCTTTGTCGTTCCATTTGGATCCATTTGGTCAGCAAGAATCGTGTTGACATCACTGGTCCGACTTGTCTCAGGCACTTGATCGTTTTGGCTTGAATTCGAGGAGGGACATGCCATGAAATACCCAATACGTTTAACTCCCAAATACCAGATCATTGTTCGCGGCCCGTGTGAGTACCAAAAGAGGCGTGCGGTGCCGTGTTCGGCGTGTTCAGCTGGCCGCTTTTTTGCCATGCATGGCTCGGCTGGCTGAGCCATGCGGACTGGCTCGGGGGAGCCCGTGGAGAAGCCGAGAAGCCATTTCTTGATATTTCTTGCCACGTTTTGTTCTCATTGACAGTTGACAGGATGATTTGACATTTGCTAATTTGCTCGCACCCTTGGGCCGCTGCCTCATCCGGTAGAGGCCCCATCCGCTTGTTATTAACTTATCTGATGTTTTGCAGTCAAAATCATCATCAACACCTTTGTGAAAACATCCTTTCTTTGGCTATCTGGCTATCCCCCATCATCCCGACACTATCCACACATATCATATATATATATATATTATATGCTAGGCTATGTGATATGATGTGACATGTGATCATATGTGAATCCCTTTGAGGGTGATTGGCGATGCCCTGGGGTGTCTTTGCCCTGGGGTGCACCACCTCAGAAGCTGCTGAATGGGTCCCGTTCTTGGCCGCTTTTCCTCGTCCTCGTCAAGAGAAGAGTAAGAGCCGCAGCCGGGAGTCCTCAGTGGTGCCTGGAGATCCTCGGTGCATTCAAAAGGGCTACGCGAAGTCTCTAAGACTCTCAAGTTACTCTTTTTCCTGATGAGGGTAAATGCAAAGAACTGGAAAAGGGAGTGCACGATATGAACAACTAAGTTGACCAAAACCGCTCACCATGCGACATGCTCGTTCTCGAACGAGCTGGTCCTGCCACGAAGCACGGGACCCGGTTCGACGGGTGGACCCCGGCACGGTGGGTAGATGTGACACTCCAGGCAGACGAAGAACATGGACCGAAGCGAGACCTGAAAGTGCCACGCTAGTAGTAACAAGAAGACTGTTAATGGCCCCCCCTGTTTTGAGAGTGGTTTTTCCGCTAGCAACCGACGTGGTGTTCAGGGTCGGGATCGTCTTCCAGGGTGGATACCCCATGATAGCCCCGGATCATCCCGGTATTGGGACTTGACTTGGCAATATAGACCTATATTGGGCGAGGCATGCGATGGGGCCCGTCTAATGTCGCGAAATGTCAACCTAGTTTTGCTCCTAGGTTGCCACGGCGATACATAGCTGTTCCTTTGGAGGGGCCGTGCTGTCCATAACAGTTGCTACAGTGAGCTGGACTGGATGTCCATTTGTTCATGTTGTGCCCCTGGAGATTCTCACATTGATGCTGCGACCGGCTTGCTCAAGTGACTAGGGCTGCATATACATCGCTTAAAGCGCAAAGTGTTTGAGCAACCCGGCCAAAAGACAGACACTCCAAGAAGTACTCCAGCAATATTCTTCAGTTCACCAACGTAGAAGCTAAAGAAAAACAAAACAAACTGAGGCCTGTGCAAAAGCCAACTGAAAGTAGTCTCTTTAGTATATTGTTTGGGTTTACGTGTTAAGCGAACAGGCAGTTTTCCAGGAAAGGACCGTGGCTTTCGAGTCGTCATCTTCCACAATGCAATGCTTTGGACGATTTCATATTGACATACATGTAACTATATATATATCTATATAATATATAATATAACTAGCTCCCGCAACTAATAGGTAACATATTTAGAGCTTTGTTCTTTTTGATTTGATCAAGGTCAAGAAGGAGCAGTAACATGAGCATCACATATATATAGTTGAACGGAATCCCGGAATCCTGGAATGACTCCTTACAGATGATTCCTTGGTATCCACATTCAAGACTGGGGGGATCCTCCCCAACCCTCGGGGCGCAACATGCACCTCTTTGCAGCTGCTTGCTGACGAGGCGCGCAGAAGGTGAGGCCTGAAGTGGTCCCAAATTAGAAAGCAAAAGTATATGCGCTACGACCAACACCCGCCAATGGATGCAGTTTAGTGGGATCACAACCATCCAGTACACGGGAATGTGAGACCAAAAGCCCCAGCTATGGATGGTGACCAGTCCGGATGACAACTATGCAGTTAGCAGTGCTGTACCTGGAAATTTCGACAAGGTGGTAGGCCAGAGCTCATGTGAAATTTAATTTGATGGCATATAAGGCTAGCCGAGAAACACATTCCTGACCTGAGCGTGGCTGATGCAACCACTGTTTGTCTCTCGCGTTCCTCCAAAGACCTACTTGCTCCTTGGAAGCTGCAAATGATGTGCTTGCTCCGTTCCGCCAAATGGGTCTTGGTGAGTCAGTGGATCTTTCTCCCATCATGTTCAATCTTCATGAAGCCAGTTTGCTCCTTTGAAGGTCAACATGTGTTCGATGAACAATGTATTGTCATTCGAAGACCGTGGTTCCATTCTCATCTGAGACCTTCACCAAGCTCGACCAACCTCTTAGTTTTGAGGTTTGATGTGCCCTTTGGAGGTATACCCTTGCTGTGGCCAACCTACCACAGGTTCCAATGGGATCCATGCCATGCCACCATCGAAACACGTGCATCCTCCAATCGAAACTAGTTTCGCCGCCATGGACACGATTTTGCACCACCGGAGATGGAAACATCGCGAGGCCAACGCCAGATCATTTTCCGGACACCAATTCAGACTGATCCTTTTGCTGGCGCTAGAGTTGGGGCTTTAGTCATATAATATAAATATATACAATTACACTGCCTGGAAGCAAAGTAGAACACCATGCCATGCCATCCACGTAGAAGTAACCATGATTCCGGGGAGTGTTGTCTTTCGCTTCTGAGGTCCCTTGAGATCGCCGACCGTGGGAGGTGCCCCCCCTTCGTTCCACGTGTCCCCGTCGCGGCGCCTGTCAGGTGCATCGGTGCATCGGTCATGGGTGGCTGAGATGCAAAGAGGGCGCACCAGGTGCATCGGTGCATCGTTTTCCAACGAGGCCCAAGAGGTGCATGCGTCATGCAACGTGAAGCAGGTTGCTGCCCAGCTGGCGCAACAGAAGGCATGGTTCTGAGAACTACGGAACTAGGGAACTGTAACTAGTGGTGTTTTCCCCTGGTGTGTGGCTAACCATTTCTTGAAAGGGTGTCCTGCTTGCCCAGATTGAACAAACCAGACCAACACCAATGCGTTCGCATGTCAGACATGTCTCTTTGACCCTTTCCTGCCCGGCCCAGGCCCCCAAAACTAATTATGACGACGAATCGTTCATGGCAAAATACCAGCTCTCCCCCCAAGCTTGCCATGGAATGTGGCATGTTTGAAGGGAAGAGTGCCAGCCACTGCATGCAGAAAGAGGGATCCCCAGTCTGAGGGGTTGCAGAACTCCCTCACACCGTGTGCTACCTTACTTCATTTTACTTCGCTCCCTTTGTTCGGAACCATTTTCAGAATCAGCACATGCCGTCTTCTCGTCCAGTCCATTCAACTCCAGCTCCCCAAAGCAATGACTATGCAAAATCCATCCCCCAGAATGAGGTCACTTAGTCCCTCAAAAAGGCCACTTACAGACTCCAAAGAGGTCACTTTGAAGGTCCCCCAAAGCATATTGGATCGATCGATTTGATCCGCTTCTTGGTCCAAGGCAAGCGCGAGGAGGCCATTAAAGAGGCCTGCCACCTGCCCCCCGATGCCCGGTCCGAGGACGGGATCTGCACGGGGGCGGTGATCGGTGTGGATCACAGAGGATTCGTAGAAATCATATAGAGCAAACGCCAAGACGTGCAGAAACCAAAGAGCGGCCGTCCTGTTCAGGACTTGTGCCGTTTTACCTGCCAAATAGCGATAGATAGGCTCCCCTCACAAGCGATCACCTTGCTGAATCATGTCCTTTGCCTCTTCTGGTACGTTTTGGCGGACGCATGATGGACCCCCTGCATGATGGACCCCCCCTGTTCAACCACCCCAGTGGTGTATATGTATAGGTCTCCTGAGTTGGATCCACTTCCATCTTTCTCGAACCAAGCCCATCAGACATGGTCAATCACACCACTTCACGGCGCGCTTCACGCGTGTAGGAGCAGATCAATGCCATCTTAGACTTCTTGGAGGGCCCTGCTGGGACCTCAGAGGACCTCCAAGACGCGCGCTCCGCGGATGTGGCGTCCTCGAAGTCGCACGATAGATATTGAATCATCATGGGAGATCTTAAGAGCCAGCTTCTAGGACCCTGAAAAAAACAGATGCTTTCTCGCCTTGGCTCTTCAAGCACAACGTGGGCAGCTCACCACGAGTCACGCCTAGTGACGCCACGCCTTGCCTAGCGCTCGCCATGCCTTCGAACGCTCCCTTTCCATGGCTCTGAGGCTCGCGAGATCGAGTTTTTGAAGACCTTGGAGCGAGTACAGCAGAGGACC